GGACACTGGAAAGTACTGCAATGGTAAGTCGACGCGCCACCACCATAACTCTGGCGTCTTTTCTATCAGCTAACTATACTACACAGACATTATCGATGCCTTTGAGGATTACGACAGCCTCGAAGCCATGCCTGACGCGCAATTGTGCTCCTACTGCTACGGAGCCAAGCTACGCATAATGCAGCAGTCGCCATACTCTGCATACGACGAGCTCTTTGCTCAGGCACTGGAAACTGTCAATAAGCGTGAGGTCATTTCAATTGCAAATCTAGATAACGAATGCTGACTTGTCGTAGGGTGCAATGTCAAAGGGCCAACCGATACTCTTTCTCCGCCCATCAACGTCAACGTCACCAGACCCAGCGTGTGCACCAGCAAGCAGACGTACAGCACACGCAACGGCGACACCTGCGACAGTATTGCTCTGGCAAACTCTGTGTCGGCGGCGTCGCTCTTCTTCCTCAACCCCAACCTGCTCAATTGCAGTAGTGTGCCTGCGGGCCTGGAGCTCTGTCTGCCGGAGAAATGCAGCGAGCTATACAAGGTCCAGAGCAAGGATGAGGACTGCGTGGTGATTGGCGTGCGGTACGGCACGTCGTGGGCCAAGCTTGTCAAGTGGAACCTAGCTCTCAAGGATGACTGCCGGAACATTTACAGCACTGAACCCTTCTGGGGCCGAGTGATCTGCGTTAGCCAACCCGGCGGCGAGTATACCGACCCTGGCTCTCCCGGCACTACCCCTGGCAACGGGGACATTGGCGGCGAGGGAGGCTCTGGTGACGGCTACGCTAACCAAGTTGTCCCTCCGCCGGACGGGGCCAAAGTAGCCGAGGGCACGACCAACAACTGTGGCAAGTATATCCAGGCCGAGAAGGGAATCAGGTGCCCGAGCCTGCTCGCCAAGCGGGCTATGCCCATGGACCTGTTCTTGAAGATTAATCCCTCACTCGGCTCTGTCGCTGAGTGTGACAGCAAGATTGTTCCTGGCCTGTGGTACTGCCTAAACCCAGTTCACGGCTGGGACCAAGTCCGTGTCTAACACGCGACCAACCGTGATCCGCAGCGCCATTTAACGGTGCCTAGTTAAAATTGATTCATGGACTGGCATAAGTCCCTCGACATTCACTTCCGCAGGTCCCGTCCTTGTGCTCCTCTCGCGTAAATTACAACTTTTTTGCGACTCTCCTGCTCGCCATGCCCCAGTCACGTTTAGAAATAAGATGCTTACTGGAATTGAGAACTATTCTTCCTCACAGGTGATGATCTGCAATGTTGGCGTTACAAGTAGCCAATCAATGGTGGCTCTGAGGCGACCTACACTCCCATCAACCTCATGTTCATTCAGCAACGCAAGTTGCCGCCACAACCGTCTTAGGATTCAGTTCCGACTGTCCGGTGGCTTGCAGGATTTGTTAAGCTTACTTATTGTTGGTCTCCTGGCCTGTTATTTCACAAGCCAGCTGCAACCTTCCCCACCCGCCGACAGCCTGCCAAGCACGGCATGCTGCAGGTTCCCGTATAACAACGTTCGGCGCCACCCTGATTTCGGCTATCATCCGGCTCGTCGTACCAAAACTCCGTGAACAAGAAAAAAATTCTTTTCTTCTCATGACTGGAAATCGTTGGTCATACCCCGGTCAACCGGATGAGGAGCAAGGTTTCGTGCAGGAATCCTTGTCTGCTGTTATTCTTTTCCGCTACCATGAATCCTATAAGCTTGGCGTCCATCGACGACCCGTCGGCCCCCATGAACGGGTGGGCGCGGAGCGGAAGGGCAACAAGGCAAAGAGCAGCAGGGCAAGTCCGAAATGGCATATAAGTTGGGTTTATGTAAGTTCGTGTTCTGCTTGTGGTAGTATTCCGCAGATAAGCGCCAGCACAAGGCATACACCATGAAGCTTATGTTGGCTCTCTTGAACGGGCTTTTCATTGTCCCGGCCATCTTGGCCGCTCCTCACGCCCGCACCAAGCGTGGTGAGAAGCCTGTCGGCAAGGTCGATCCCGAAACTGCCTCGGACTGCACGTACTGGGAAGAGAAGACTGATGCCTCTGTGACTTGTGATAGTCTCCAAGCGGCGTGGTCCATCTCGGCCAACGACTTTCGCAAGTGGGTAGGTTTTCGAGCTTGTTAAGAGGTGATGGTGTCGATTATGTACTAACACGGCTGCAGAACCCCCTCGTTAAAGATGACTGCAGCGGCATGAAGATTGGCAACTCGTACTGCGTCGAGGTCAATTTTGGTCTTCCCAGGAGCACAACCACCCAGCCAACTACCGTGCCTAGCACTACTTCCACCGGTAATGGCGTAACCACACCTACTCCGACCCAGCCCAACATGGTTGACAACTGTAACAAGTTCTACTTTGTCAAGGAGGACGAGAGCTGCGCCGACATTGCCTCCGCCAACGGCATCAACGTCGAAGACTTTGGAAAATGGAACCCCAAGGTCGGCGCCCAGTGCACCGGTCTGTGGGCGAAGACGTACGCCTGCGTAGGCGTCCTTGGCTCGACTGGCAGCTCGATAGCCGTGCCGTCGACTACGACGACTACCGGCAACGGGGTCGTCACCCCCACGCCTACTCAGCCTGGCATGGTCGACAACTGCAATAAGTTCTACCTTGTCAAGGAAGGCGATGGCTGCGCCGACATTATCACCAACAATGGCATCAGCATGGAGGATTTCGCCAAATGGAACCCCAGAGTTGGCCCTCGATGCACGGGGCTCTGGGCCAAGACGTATACCTGCGTCGGTATCCTTGGCTCACAAACGGACAAGCCAACTGCTCCTCCCAACGCGTCCGTACTACTATACTACATATATCTGATCAATTATATCATACTGAGCTGACAATTGTTCTAGAGTCAAGACCCCCTCCCCCATTCAGCCCGACATGATCAACTCGTGCAACAGGTTCCATTTTGTGGAATCCGGCCAGAGCTGCCAGGACATTGCTTCTCGCTACGGCGTTACCGTTTCCGAGTTGACCAACTGGAACCCCAAGGCTGGCAGCGACTGTTCTCGCATCTTTGGCCAGACTTGGGCTTGCGTTGATCCCATTCGCAGCTTCAGCTTCGACGACGGTACCAAGAACCAGTGGATCGTGGCCGAGGGCGGCGCCGACACCTCGTCCAAGGCCCTTGCCATGACCTCCTTCAGCAACAAGGCCTACTACGACGTCAACTTCAACGACGTGGCCTTTGAGGCGCGGGTGACTCTGCGCGCCGGCCGGTCTGGCAACGCCGGCATCATGTTCCGCGCCTCAGACATTGGCAAAGGCGGCGACCAGTACCATGGCTACTATGCCGGCGTCAACTTGGCCGGCGACCTAGTCCTCGGCCGCGTCAACAACGACTGGAGAGAGCTGGGCCGCGCCAAGGTCGGCGTCTCTGCCGACCGTCCCTTCACCATCAAGGCGCTGGCCACGGGCGATCTGATCGCCGTCTACGTCAACAACGTGGACCGTCCCGCGCTGACCGTTCGCGACGGGACCTTCCGCTCTGGCAAGGTTGGCGTGCGCACGCACGAGACCGAGGCGGTTTTTGACGACCTGTCCGTTTCGACGGTCGTGTTTGACGACTTTGAGCGCAACCTCATAAACTGGCAGATCTACGACGGCGGCTTCGATGCCCGCACCCGCGAGCTGGTGGCCAGCGACGTCACCAGCGGTAAGATTGCGTACCAGGCCACGTTTGAGGACTTTGTCCTCGAGGCCGACGTGGCCCTGACGCACAGCGGCGACAATGGAAACGCCGGCTTCTTGTTCCGCACCACCGATGTCGGCAACGGCCCCGACGCCTACAAGGGCTACTACGTCGGCATCGACGCCTCCAGCAGGGTCATCCTGGGCCGGGCCGGCGGCGGCTGGAAACAACTCGACCAGAACAACGTCGGCATCCGCGTCAACCAAAAGTATCGGCTGAGGGTGCGTGCCATCGGCAACTCCATCAACGTCTGGGTCGACGGCAACCCCTACATCCAGTACCGCGACTCGACGTACAAGAAGGGCATGGCTGGTATTCGCGTCTACTCTACTGGCGCTGTCGTTGACAACTTTACCATTCAAAAGATTTGATTTCGGCGTTGTAGTATCAAAACGGTAACGTTATTGCTGGCGCAGTCGTCGAAGCTTCACCATTTAATACGTGTAATTTCCATTTTGTACTTTAGTACAGCACTGTGTTGTTGGCGCAGTCGCTGACAACTTAAGCATTCAGGGGGTTTGATTTCTATAGTATTTAATTACTGTAACGTCGAAGAGTTTGCAATTGTGATTCTTTGCAACGCAGTTGGCTGCTAGTGCAAAATACATTTTAACTTATTCCTTACTACTAGAGTTATAGAGGATTATTCACCTACCTTCCAAGTACCGATGAAACCGGAAGACAGTGTTAAATCAGTCCTAGCTTTTGTTAATGAGACTACATATATTATTAACAGTAGTTATACAGGGACTTTTATTTCTCACACAGAAGGAGAGTTATATCTTTAACATTATACACTAAGAATCATTAAGGTTACTTTAGAAATCCTAAGGGAAACGGGCCCCGTTTCCCCGTCTCTGCTAATTGCATCCTACATTAAAATCTCTGCCCTCATATAGCGCAAGGATATCCTTAAAGTCTTTAGAATGCTTTTTTGGCAAATTAAATAGCTGTTTGCAGAACAGTGCATTGAATCAGTAGGAGGACTACTATCAAGCAATTATAGGTAGGTATGCATAATCCGATAGGCCCTCCCTTGTAAGGACTTATAATAAACAGCTTATTTAAGTCCCGGCGCTTCGCAGCCGAGAATCGGACTGCATCGGCGGCAAAGTGTGGTCCGTCAACCACCGTTCAAGACGCAAGAGCGGGGATGAGAAGGGTATAACAAATGTCAGGAGCCTCTACACCAAGAGAGCGCTCGACTGATGTATAGACTCATATCGACGAGTGTCAAATTAGCCCAAACATGGCACTTCTTAGAGTACTTCTGCGAGTTCTCCTAACACAAATTGCCGGCTCGTATAGCTCAGTTGGTTAGAGCTTCGTACTAATATTTCGGGTCTAACGGCTCCAATGTTGGTAATGCGGAGGTCGCAGGTTCAAGCCCTGCTATGAGCATTCAATTTTCTTTTTGCATTTTGCACGCATTCGCTATCATTGAACAATTGTTTTTTTTTTTTTTTTTGTCTTTTATTCCGTTCCTAATCACGCATGTATCATGTATGTATTCCCTTTGCTTATGTGCATTCTTATCATTCGCTCGCTACTTTACATTCAAATCGTATTTGCTTCTTCCCTTCCCTTAACAAAATTACAACAAAGAAAAAAGAGAATGTATGAAGTAAATTTTTTTTTTCTTCTTTTCTTTTTTTACTCTTTAGCAATGAGCTCATCGAACAACGGCTTCAAACTCTTTGCGCTCTTCTTGGGAAATCTCTGCTGTCCATTTTCATAATCAACAAACGTCACTCCAAATCTGGTAACGTAGCCATCGGCCCACTCAAAGTTGTCCATCAGCGACCAGGCGAAATACCCCTTCACATTAACACCGTCCAGCGTCACGGCCGTAACCATGGCTCGGATGTAGTCGTTGTAGTACTTGACTCGGAAATCATCCTCCAGAATCTTCTCCTTGGGCAGGTCGTTCTCTCCCTTGATGCTGGTGCCGTTCTCTGTCACGTAAATCCGGGGGTAGTTGTATCGCTTGCTGATCCACACGAGGAAATCGCGGAAGCCGGTCGCGCAAGGGCGCAGCCATGGGGATTGCGTCTCTGGGCCGATACACTGGCCCTGCTTGTTGTAGAACAGGCAGTCGACGTTGCCCACGGTGTCGTCGGCGGTGGCGGGCGAGGTGCGGTGGCGGATGTAGTTGGATGTGTAGTGGTTCATGCCGTAGAAGTCGTTGGAGCCCAGGACAAAGGCCTTCTCCTCGGCTGTAAATGTTGGCAGGCGATCTCCGAGCTGTCTGCGCATAGACGCAGGATAATCTCCCAGGTAGATGGGGTCGGCAAACCACGCCGTGAAAAATTCCAATCTGCGCTCAGCCGCCTCCCTATCGGCTGGGTCCGACGAATCCCAGGGATAAGTGAAGTCGCCGTTGAGGACGATGCCGATCTGGCTATCGCTGGTGGTCTTGAACTCCTCTCGATAGGCCTTTACGGCACGGCCGTGGGCAACCAGGAGGTTGTGGCCGACCGTCCAGGGCTCTGAAGTGCTCTGGCGTCCCGGGGCAAAAGTTCCAGAGCCATAGCCTGGGATGGCAGAGCAGAGAGGCTCGTTGAAAGTAATCCAGTTCTTGACTTTGGGAAGCGACTGGAACATGATGCGAGCGTAGTTTTCAAAGTCCAGCGGGAACTCTTCGCGGTTCAACAAGCCGCCGTATCGCTGATGCAGCTCCTCTGGCAGATCCCAGTGGAAAAGCGTGATAAAAGGGGTGATGCCCGCTTCCAGCAGGTCGTCGACAAACTGCGCATAGTGGTTGACCCCGGCCTTATTGACGGGATCGTTGCGACCGCCCTTGGGGATGATTCGAGACCAAGAAATGGAGAAGCGGTAAGATTTGGCTCCAAGGGATTTCAGAAGTGCAATATCTTCGGCCGTGCGGTTGTACGAGTCGCAGGCAGTAACACCGGATGATCCATCAGCAATCTTGCCGGGGATGGCGCAGAAGGTGTCCCAGATGCTGGGACCGCGGCCGTCTTTGTCGATGGCGCCTTCGATTTGATAGCTGTAGGTGATAGATGTAAGCGGCTAAGCACAATAGAGAGTATAACGACTTGGGATGTTGTGTTGTTTGACTTTGATACAAATGGGAAAGCAACTTACGCAGCCGTAGCAAAACCCCACTGAAAGTCTTTGGGCAACATATTTGCACGAGATTACTTTTTTTCCTCTAACAAAAGAAAAAGAATATTATTTTTTTTTTTTAAGAAACAGATGCACAACCACTTAAGAGATCATGCAATGCATGCTCTCACTCAGCTAATGAGATGGGTGGGAATTAGTCTCAACAGCCTGGATATATATAATTGCCCCTCCCATCCAGTCCAGCCTAAGATTCGGAAAATAAACATGGAGAAATACAAAATACGCTCACGGCCCTGCATGGCGCCAGAGGCGCATTTTCCCGGATAATGATGGTGCCCTGCCATGGGTACCTGCGCATTTAGCCAAGCTACAGTTGCGATATCCATTTTACCCAAGAAAAAAAGCTGCTAATAGCACGGCTAACCCATGCGTGGAGGCTAAGATAATAGGGCCTTCTACCCCGTACCCCGAACTATGGAGTAGTAGTGCCCGCTTCATGCACTCCATAAGTGCAAATATAGCGACGGTACCCCGTACCATGGTCGAACTAGAAAGAAGTGGTGTTAGATGGGACATGGTAGAGCGAGCATGACTCCCAGATAAGTCGTTTGACGGGGATACCGAAATCCATATTTTCCCCTCTCAACGCTCTCTGCTCATGCGTTGAGAATCCTCCCCGGCCAACCGTCTTGACCGACAGATAGTCACAAGGTAAGGCTAGTGGTCCTCAATGGGAGCCATACTGGCGGAGGATGGCGATCCGGGCGGCCCCAAGCAGCTTAGCCTATACGTGATTGTCCGAAACATGAGGCCAGTGCCGTCAAGCGGGCCGAGAGATGGGCTGCTAAGAGAAGGGTGGTGGGTTCGAGTGGAAGGAGTCTTGAGGCGAAGGGGGGAGCATACATAGTACTACATGTACTCTTGGGTATACAAGTACTAGGTAGGTATAGTAAGAAATACACAGTTGCGAGTTGGTATATATACGTGTAAGTAGTAGTTGTGACGTTACAGGCACTTGAAGTAATGCTACATACAAGGTAGCAGATCTGCCAAATAACAGCAATTTAGCAGAGCAGCAAGAAGGAGGAGAGCAGTGAATGTGGACAGATATGATGTTTTGCGTTGTCGGCAGAAGGCCAAGTCACTTGATTTGATGGTCGGAAGAAAAGACGATGGTGTCTTTGGCGTTGAAGCCGACGGCTAGATTCAGCCGAGAGAACACGTGGGGACGTAACGATTATCTACCTACCTATATTAAACAGCAATACCGCTGGGGCTTTTTACCGCTGGCACGGAGCATAAGAATCTACCTAATCTGCCAGCATTTCTCTCCGAAATTGTGCATCTACACTAGCGGGCGTCTGCATAGGCAGATGTTGCTGGCCTGCGGGCACTGCTAAAAGGACCCTTGCATGCAATTCAGGCACCAGACGGAGTATAAGCAAGCGAGGCTCTCGCCCGATGCTACTTGCTTGCTCGCCATTGCTCTACGGTGCAACTCCAAGCCAGCATTTGCTCACGGTACGAATCGCCATTCCAAAGGTAAGAAGAAACACGATGAAAGAATCTTTATATTTTTTTTCTTCTTCGTAAAAAAAAAAGAATAACCAGAGAGAGAGAAGAAAAATAGAGAGCAGCATTACACATACAGCAGACCTTGCTTATGCACCTACTAACACATAGGCTACAGAGCAACCCAAAAAGAAAAAAAAAAAAAAAAGAAACCCATTGCTTGTACCTCCTCGTCCTTTGTACGCATCCATTTATACGGATGCATCGCATCAATACCCGGCAAGCCGCCAAGCTGCATTTACGTCTCCATCGCCACTGTCAAGCTTCAATGCTCTCGAACCTTCCTCTTACCAAGGTGCGTCAACGCAGCATCGTCCTCGCCCGTTTCTCCGCCGCCATTCTCCGAAAACTCGACAATTTCCCATTCGATGCTCGTCTGCCCGTCGCGCGATCTCCTAGTGCCGTAGCTCCGGCGCATCTTACCTAGCCGAGAACCCTCGATTAAGCCGTCGAACCAGGGAACGCCAAACGACTGTTGAAGAGCTGTCCTTTTCGTCGGTGTCGCCGCCGACGCAGCCTCGCCCTCGGACGGTGCATCTTCATCGCCGTCCTCGGGAATCAGGCCAATGTCTTGCAGGTCTCGAATGTCTTCCCGAAGCAAACTGCCGAGGGTGAGATTGATAAACTCAGCCTCGCTCCGCGGCTCCTCGGACCAATACGATAAAGGCGTGCCACAGAAGCCGCAAAAGTGCCGTTTGGAATAGTCTTGGCTTGGGTGTGTGTAGACCCTGCGGATCATGGAATGCGTCTCATCCGGGAAGAAGGCGTATGTGGTGCTGTGATACCACGAGAGCGGGACACGAATATAAGCTGCCAGGGGTGTCGCGAGAGGGATCTCTGTTGCACCAAGCGCCGTTAGCTGGGGGCCAAAAGCATCAAAACAAAAACAACAGCCCAAAGAAGAAGAAGAAGAAGAAAACATAAAATGGCCAAGGGGGCATGAGGCAATCCATAAGCCTGTACAATTGCATTCCTTGCGCCCACGACTACCTCATAAAAAGAAACTGGGGATGCTCTTACGATGCTGAGGCTCAGTGTTGAACAGGACCTGAGCGTCCTTGATGCCGTCCTCTGGGATGGCGATGATGTAACGATTTCGGCCGCATTGGCACCCGCCCCGCAGTGGCCGCGACCCGCTCATAATGCCTGTAGTAGCAGCGGAAGCAGAAGAGGAAGAGGAAGCAGAAGACAAATGACACGAATGCTACTGGCAAAAGATCAAGGGCTGGCTGTCAAAATCACAGAGTGAGGCAGAGGTGAAGCTAATTGAGAGGATTCGGCGGCGTTGTCGATCGCGAAATGGGTTGCAGATAAACAAATAGGGAACCAAAACAAGGCTGCGGCAACACAGGTTTAAAAAAAAAAAAAGAGGGTGCATGGATGGATGACGGAAGTCTGGTGCCATTTGGAGGGGCTTCAGGCGGTGCTACGCGCTAACAGTTTGGGGGTGGCCGCCTTAGATGGTGCTGGATCGTTCCACTGAGGTCGTCGCGCCGTGCTGTAACTTTCTAGAAACTGGGGGCGGATCCATGCTGGGGCTCCACTGGGACGTCGGGCTGGCATTTCCCCGCCACGAACGATGGGGGGGCCGTCGCTGTGTCTTGGCGGAGTTGAAGTTTTGACATTGGCTCGATAGTTGACAACCGTAACAAGCAACAGAGCAGCCAGCGATGGATTCTTTTACTTGTTAAAAGCACTGCTCAGAATGCAAGACAATGTAACCCGTTGTAGTAAGAAGC